GAATTTAAGAAATTTTTTTATCAAGTTCTAACCCCAATGTTACGGATTGAATTCTCTAAGACGACAGGGCATCATCATGACAATATATAAAAAATATTATTTCAGGTTTCTTAAAGAAAGGCCTGAAGGAAATAAAAAATCTGATCCGTCACAAATCTGTACCCAGTGTATGTGTTTATTCAGCACAGCTGATGTGCAAAAGCGGAGAGTGGAGGCAGTTAGAGGGTTATATTCGCCATTAAGGGTTGCAACCCCAGGTATATACAACACAGGCGTGTGTGCACAATAGAACCACATGCTTTCAAATTGTAAAAAATGGTAAATAACACTTTTGTAACGGCATGTGTCCAATCGCACTGTGGCTCGAAAGTTATATTGTTTTTTTACCCGTCGCTTCCTTCTTTATTAACAATATGTTAATCAACGCTGCCGAGAGCAATTAACACAGCAGGTACCTTAATTAACAAATTATCGAATTAGAATAACAAAAAGACGGCCCTAAATTATATTTTCGCTATGATAATAAAGCTTGGAGCTTTTATGAGCCGGAAGCTTAACAAAAAAAATTGACAAATAAGAAAAGTAAACGAGATGATCGAATGTCGTAGAAAAAACCAGGAAGGCACCAGTTAAGCACGCGTTGCCATTGGGTACCCTTTCACAAGGGTTGAAATCTTATATCGGGTGTGAAATGAAAGGGATGCTCATAAAAATGTACATGTAAAACGCGTTAGGTCGCGCACGCGTCCGACTTTTACATAATATCGATAGAGATATGGGCGGGATACGCTTGCGCTATGTAAACTACCCCTTTACATCTGCATACGTTTAAAAAACAGGAATGGCGGAACGATCCCTTGCGCTTTCATTTGACTCACAATTACAGACATTATAACGTCGTTTTAAAACGGTTAACTCGCATCAACGAGCCGATTTGAAATTATTAAAGACGTAATTTAGCTATTAGCTGCACGCGGAAATAAACGGCAAAAGGGGTGGAACGCGCGACATGTTGCTTTCGAGTATTGATGCTTAGAAAAATTTTATGCGCTCGTAAAATAATTACTTAGGAACTAGCAGTTGGTTTATTTTTGGTGATGAAAGAAATAAAGAAAGGATAAACATTTCATCACTTGGATATTTGCAGTTCTTTATTTCTCATTGCCATCTTCATTCTAATCCATTTTCATTATTTACGGAAATATCAGATGTCCTCAACTTTTTCGCTTAATACGCATAGATCATCCGGAATCTCACATTTTGGGGCAAAACCCCTCAACTGTTTTGAACAGGGATGAAACGTCCAGCATATTGCTGTGTTTACTATTACCTAATCAAATTAATAATTCTAATTATGATATTTAGTAGAGTAGGTACAATAAATCCAAATTTATATTTTATTAAATAATTGTTTCAAGGGTGTTAACCACTTTCTCAGCTACTTTACAAAAGAAAGAGCGGAAAAATTAGTTTTGAGGGAGAGGAAAAACGTAGTTACGTATATAAGGACTTTTTATTTATCTGAAACTTTCACAGCTTTATTTAGTTTTCAAAATTGTGTATTTTTGGAACAAAATAACATTAATACATACTCATACATTATTATAGTGTATTATTAAAACACAAATATCTTAAAATTTCATTTCGAAATAAGCTTACGCGGTATTAAAAATTGCATCATACAGTTAGCAAATCAAAAACAATTTTCAAAAGTACTTTTTTGCTTTCAAAAATAGCTGTTTTAGGAACTCATTTAAGTCTCTAAAATGAGTTTTTTTCAGACTGAACACGTAAAGTAGTTATTTTAGGTGCGTACTGTTTATTACTTTTAACCACTATTTTTAAGAAATTAATCATACGTATTCAGAGATTTGAATGTGTTTTTGGTACTTTAACAAAAAATGTTGTTTGTAACACGTACTTAAAAAGTTTTGCGGACTCATATAATTCAAAAACAGCAACGATCCGTCCGGAGAAACTCTATTTTAGGTTCTTCTAACAAACATAACTGTTTCGCAAATCTTTATAACTGAGCACACAATTTTTTTTATTTTATTAGGACTTTTTAAGCAAGGAGTTTTCAAATAAAAATTTGCATTTATGTTAAACAGAATACCTACTGAAATTACAGTGGATTATAAAGTTATATTTTTGGTTTTTGATTTTATAGATTAGTTTTATGAGCAATATTGTAACTATAAATAGTATGAGTTATTGCAAAAATGAGAAGTTTTATTAGGTAGACTGAGGATTTGGTTTTCAAAAATCTTATAATTACCGGCTAACCAGTAAGTGTTTAATACAGGTTTTTTTAAGATTTATTTTGTACTATTTTTGAACGGCCCATCTCGATTTTTTTGACAGCGGCTCAGTACAAAAGCTGGTCCTTAGAAGAAATAAAAAAAAATATAGATGTAGAAATTATTTAGAATTATATTTAAATGTGCAATTTATTGAGATTAATAAAGTCTATGTAATATAAATAACCTGATTTTAAATTATCCTATTTTCAACAATTAAAATTAGCACCTTAACTACTAAGATGTTTTTTATATTAAATTTTAAAAAAAATACTGGACCACGGTAGAAAAACTTGTGGAAATGCTTGTTTATTCTATAGGTATACGAGACTAGAGGTTTTTTGTAAGTTTGTAATAGATAAAGTGAAAAAAGAAAAGTGTAAAAAATTGAATTTAAAAAATTAAAATCGGTTAGGGTAAATAGTCGAATGCAAAATACAAATACTTTTTTTCATAAAAGAGGGCCCGTTCTACGGAGCAATTAATTTCAATCAAATATAATTAATTGGCCACTATTTTGACGTTTGGTAAAACAAACTAACTTTTTCAGAAGAAGCTATTTTGAAACTTGTTAAATGAGTAGACTGTTATATTTTGTTTTCGCCATCAGTCGGACTAGAGCAAAGACTAAGATTGGGAATACTCGATAAACCCTGTAATTACCTCGTTTTCTATACTTCGAAACTTGTTACATTGTGCTAGTTTATGGCGTTGTGTGTTACTTTTAGTGCCGCTGATGGTCCAAAACTCTATTACTTAGTATCTGAATTGAAAATGTGTTCTAAATAACGCTTGCAATGACTATATGTGTTTGATTCTCGTGTGTACCTCCCCATTGGCCGCACTTTACATGTGTAACTCGTCTAGAGATCAGCGGAGGGCATTGAGGCGCAAAGACAAACAGTTCCCTCGCCTCGCGGTGTCTTCTTATATATGTGAATGTTCTCTCGTTCTATTCCCTGATTTGTGTTGGTGGTGTCCATCCGCTGTACCGCCATGAAAGCGTCTGAGAAAAGCAGGCCGCAATTTACTTAGACCCCTCGAATCAAATTGTGAATCTTCAAAAGAATAGACCACCCCTGCACTAACCCGCGCCAAACTAAAATACCCCTATTTCACTTTTATTTAACTCGGTTTTATCTCTCCTAAATCACATAGCCAGTGGATGTTGAATCTTCCACTACCAACTTTCAGGAAATAAGAGATTAAAGAGACTGAAATGGAATCGACCACTGCTGGACGTGGACATTGGTACCACTTATCTACTGCATATTCCATCATTTATCAAATAAGCAGAACGGGATTCTTTCATAAGTGCGTTTATTAAGTGGAAAACGTCCATTACCTTACATACCTGTAAATTAGTAGGTTCAAAAATTCAGCACAAAAAGCGACGATACTTTCAGGAAACTTAAATATATGTCGGTTTTTACAGACTTTCAAGGTTTGGAATTATTTATTTTTAATTTCAAAAACTTTGAAACCAATTTTCGTTTCGTTTAGATTTAAAATCTTTTAGCTTTAGAAAAGACATTTCCTAAGGAAGTTACTAATAAATTTTTACTATATTTGAGCTTTTAGGTGTAAAAAACATGAGCTGTCAGAAATATTATTTTTGTCTTTTTACCATATTTAAAGACTGGGTTGTTTTTGACAAATTTTTTACATTTTAATTTTGGGAAAAGTTGTAATAGTCATTAAGACGTTGATAGCACGTGTTGTTGTAATTATCGGCAGTTACACGACTACAAAACTGTAATTTTGTACCAATTTCGGTTTTGCATTAAAACCGTAATTTTATGGCCTTTTTGTGAATTCATAAAGTGGCGATCACTACTCTTCCTCAATTTAGTAATAAAAAATTTAGATGAACTCTATAAAGCCAAGTAAAGTACACGTACGGCGAGCTTAATTATACATATTTTCAAAACAGTCAGTAGAAGCTTTTGAACTTCTTGTGTTTGTAGAAATTTTGCAATTACCTCGACTTGCATTAGGAAAATTAGAATCCTCGCGAGTCGTAATGATGCTTTTTTCGGCTTAGTGAAGCTTTCATGTTTGCATTTTATAATTCTATCGGTTGTAAAATGTCGAAAAAATGTTTAATTGCAGGAGGATAAGTCTAAAATATAATATTCATGTTCGACACGGAAAGTTTAATAATTTCTTTTCCGGCAATCAAACTGGCGAAGCGGTCACACATAAAAACGTCCAAATCCCTGTGAAACAGCCTCTCACAAGATGAAAAAAAAAACGTAAATACTCCAAAGGTATCATTACCAAAAATAATAATCAACTTGCTACCGCGTTGAATGTTTCTTTGAACCGATTAAGTTTGTGTCTACTAGTAAAAACAAGATCATATTTAACCTTGGGTTATAGAAAAATTTGAAACGAACATTCACGGAAAAATGTTTATTCAGTACTTTTATTAGTGCGAAAGTGCAAAGGTTGAAGACCTGAATCGTTTGGCCAGTTGTTGTGGCTGATCCGGAGTGGAAGCTGTGTGTTCCGGAGAGACGGTGGGGGCGCAAGGGGGGTTATTGATTAGTGCGACCCTAGTTAGCGCTACTACCGCCCCCTCTTTAACTCCCCCGGTCGAGAATCAGCATAGGATTTCCTCGTCTGTTTACCTTGAAATCAGCAATGCGCACTTCCATATATCGATCGCATTTTGCTGAAAAAATTTCTTGTTTTCAGGTAAATTATGGCTGAACGATCCTGAAATGACTTGGCGGCAGGAAATGCAAGTACCTTCGAGCGAGGAGTCCAAAGTCGCGCTCCAGACCAGACTGGGCCTCTCGCCAAGTGAGTATATTACGATTTTCATGACAAAAACACCAATCGCTGTCTATTAAATCCGCCGATTTTGGGGAGACACTCAATTTCCGAACATCATTGATTTTCGAAACATACCCCATTGACAGATTATTACGAAAAGCCCCAAATTTGCTGACTCACCCCTTCTCGTTACTGTCACATGTTGCTCCCGTCACGATTTCTCCCGGACCAATTTGCATCGTATGTGCCTCTAATTACCCAATTCCGGTAATAATCTCGAAATTACCACACACAGAAGAGTGAAATTGCAAATTTTAACTGTATCTACTTCCAGATATATAGCATAATAATTAAAAAAATTAGTTACACTAGCTAAATTAAGTATCATCCATGACGATTAGTGGAATTGCATGACCATGTCTCGTCGTCCTTTCAACTCGATAACAATAAATTTGAATTTGGTCGTTTCTTCATTTAATTATACAAAACGAAATTGGACGTTGTTCGAAGTATTGGCTTACTTTTTTGGAGAGAAAATGAAGCACCTTTCAACTTGAGTATAATTCGATTTAAATAAGAGAAAGTCGCCTGCTGCGGGGGTTGGACTATGCGAACAAGAAGGGCAATCTGAAACGGAGGGACAAATGGACCACGCCAGACGTGAGAATTCGATAAAGATTGACTGTTTTACCACCCCACTTTAAGGCCTTTAAAGGGACACCGGCGGCGCCGGATCATCTACGCCTTTGCGTAATACGCCATACATAAGAAAATCATTATTAATAATAATACATAATTAGATTATTTTATCTTGACAGTCTTTTCAGGGATTAATCTGTATTAAGCAACGATCGTTTAATTTTTTCTGTAATTTACAAACTTCAAATTCATGTTATTCTAATCCTAAGTAAACTCCATTAGAACTAGTGATAATACGAATTTCATACCTTTTACATCATTTATTATTTATTATCGTAGTTTATCAATAAAATTTTATCAATAAAACTAAAAGGTGACGTTTTATATGTTCGTCTTTCTATGTTTAAAACAATTTGAATATAATCTAACTTTTAAGAGTTGTCACCTTGTACAGATTATACCTACGTTGCAAAAATTATGTAATACGAAGTTAATTAAATTTGAATAATTACAAGAACCAGGCATTAAACAAAACTATTTTTTAAAATGACTGTGCATTTTTTAATGTACGACAATGTTGACGCCATTAATTTTTATTAAATTTGTTAACAATGAAATTGTACATTTTTGTTTATGTAACCTACATTTTCCAAAATTTTTGACTGTTGGATATTAATTTTTATCAAACACGAAAAGTACGAGTGATTTCTGGTTTCTAAATTATTTTATTTATGTATTTTCTTTTAGGCAATTTAGTCAGTGTTGTTTTACAGAGATGTTCAGTCTTTTCGAAAAAGTTGTGCTCTTGTCTAAAAACTACATTTTTAAAATAATTATACAAGAGGTTATACAAGAGTGTCTCGTAACTATGAGATAAGTTAGACATACATTTTTTTGAATGGTGCACGCTACATTTTATTCCAAATAAATTATTCTTATTATTGTTTTCGTACCACTAATATTTACCGAGATTTTCACATTCTATTGTAGAAAAAATGCTTATTTACGGAAATATTTGTTTCTTAATCAAAATATTGTTAACTAGGAGAATAAAAAATTTACGGAAGAATTCACAGAATTGAAGGGTTACGAGAAGAGCTCTAATTTTATTTATTATTTATTAAAATGTTACTATCAATCTTATTTTCTCATGTATAAAGAAGAGCTAAAAAATGTTACTTAAAATGACCATAAATTCAAAAGATTAGAAATTTTTTCACTTCAAAATTTATCACTTTGATGTTAAATTATCAATTTGTTTAGCATTCAAAAGTGCATAATTTTGATTTCCTTATTAGTTTCAAAAAAAAATTAAAAAAGAAAAGAATGAACAAAATATAATTTGAAGACATTTTATTTAAATCTCTGACTCAAAATCTGTAAAAGTTTCAGAAAGCTTTAGTTCGAAAAAAATACTTAGAAGTGATGTAAAAGAATTTATAAAATACTCCAGAAAATAAAGAGAACAAAAAATTTCTTAAATTTTATGGTGATTTTTGAAAGGCATTTTGAAGCTTTAAGTTTGGAGATACTTTGGTAATTTTTTGAACTACGGTTGTCACGCAATCCTAAGAAATAAAGTGAAATTTTTGTTTGTTTTTAGTCCACAATCTTGGGGATTTGTTTTAATTAAATGAATGCATGGGCCGGATAGCTTGTTCATTCAACTTCAACTTGCTTTTTTATATTCTCATTATGTCAATTTGTCGCTAGGATATCTGACTTTTAATCAAAAAGGATCCTTTTGTCTTTGATCATCGATATCTCAGCAACCAATGACCGCACAGAGAATGTAATAAGGGTAGTTTCAAAAACTGGAATAAACTTCCTACAAAATTCTTTTACGATTAAAATACAGCTTTTTAAAAAAACACCAAAAAATTTACGAATTTTTTTTCTTCTCTTAAGAAGGTGTAGTGTAATTAATACTTTGTATTAATTTTTGTGTGAAACGATTTTAATTAAGGGGTTTGTTTCTAAAAGATTGTTTCTTATTCTTATTGTCTTTATTCTTTCTCAATGTTATTTTTTAGAAACAAGTATAAGGGTGTTTATTTTAAAGAATCGCAACTTTAATTTGGCTCATTTAGTGTAAGCACTATGACGCTGTAAAAATAATTTTGTTTTCTTCGTAAGTGGATGTTTTATTCAAGATTCATATTTTTATGGTAGATTTAAGTTGGGCAACCCTAAGTTGAAAATCTTTGTGAAATGTTGTTAGCACCATGTAGAGATGACATTCGTTACAGTCAGTGAACTCTTGAAGAAATTTAGTTTTAAATAGCGTAACAACAATTTTCGCGCCCGAAAGGCAACGCTATAATTTTCTCCAGATGAGAATAAAAAGGCTGCATTATTTACGTTTCGAAAAAATTCATTGAAATTTGTGCTTGGAAAAGAAAGTCAATTTTGTGAAAAAATGATTACTTTTTAAGTGCTCGGATGGCCGGTCATCTAAAATTAATTTATCTATCGGAAAGGGCCCGCTGTCGGCCAAGGTCCGGGAAATTTATGATTGCCTGTGAGCCGTCCATTTTAGTCATATTCAGTTACATGTGCCGCTCATCTACTGACATTTCAATATATGTTTTATGGAATGTATAACCTGCTACGGCCGTATATCAATGGGGACTATCATGGCAAGGTGCTGCTCGACTGGTCATTTCGAACGTTTCAGGGAGGAGGACGGTTATCCCCAAGACTCCCTCCGTTATATACGACCTACTCACCAAGTCGCAGGACCCTATATGCGGACCCCGGACTCGAATATTCCGCAGGACATTGATGTAAAACATCCTCGATGAGGGCATAAACTAAGTGCCAGGACAGCTACAACTTTTATAAGAAATGTCGTTCGCGTACGTGTGAAATGACCATAGAAAATGAAACGTATATCTGGTTGCCTACATTTATTGTTATAATTTTTTACGTCGTTATTATAAAACGCTCTTATCCGATTCCGGTAATAAAATCGATAAATAACCACTCATAAATGTCGTTCGTCGAATGTGAGCAAATAAATTGTTTCATCCCCATTCCGTAATTAAAAGTTTCAACCCTAAACCACTCCCTCGACAACTGTCTTTTCCCTAATGCATAAGCAATTCGTCTGCAAAATTCGAAATAACTTTCTTTATTCTTAAACTGCTTTAAATTAACAACCATTTCAAGTCTTTCTCTTCGACTACTTGCTAATAAAAGAGACCGATACTATAAAAATACCACATACCACGAACAAAGAACCATTAATTTCTAATGCTAATTACAAACTTTTATACCATGATTGCGATACTTATTAATATTTAATGTAAATTTAAAACAAACATGCCGATAAATTTGTCGAATGTAAAGCTACATTAAATAACACACCCATATTTGACAAACATTACCTAAAGATAGACAAATTATGAAATATTCCAAAATTCACTATTATGTTGCATTAAGTTGAAATCTAATGCAATCAGAATTTTTGCTGAGATAATTTTATTTCATTTTGTTACGTTATTATTATTACATTGTTTTCAATCGTATCTAAAGCGTAATTATTTTTTCCCTAAATTCACGTTTTAAGCTTATTAATAGAGTAATAAAGATATTCAAAATGTTTTTTTTGAGGGGAAAGCCATATTTATGAAAAATAGTTTCTTATACCTTTAGATTTATTTGTGCATTATGGAATTTGGATGTACCTAATTAAACAGTTTTTGACCATACTCGTATAGTTAGAGTTGTACTACGTATCTTTGTGGTATTTTGTTAGACTAGTGCAGTTAGTACTGCAAAATGTTGAATGCTGATTTGGAATTACTGAAGCAGCGAAAAAGACGAGAAAGAAACAACATTGGCAAATGTCAATAATGGTTGGTAAAACGCTTAAGCGTATTTTTACTACATGTCTGAAAGGTAAAACTTTTACTTGTGACATTTAGTAATAAAAGAGGTCACTTTTGTGACGTTTGCGGACGAATATTTTTTCTATAAATTTATTCGTGCATTATGGAATTTTTTGAATTTGGGAATACATATTTAAATAATTTTCCATTCTCATATTTAGGTAGGGTAATGTCGGGTAGAGGTAGACATTTTTTTTCAATAGGTATGAGCTTATTGAAATAGGAGTTTTTGTAATACAAGGTTTGCCAAATGAAGTAATAAGCAAAATTATTATTTTTTAGATTGTTATTTCAAATTCATCTAAAATATGTATTGAAACGATTTAGGTTAATAAGTAAATACCTAGTTGTTATCAATATAATATATCCATCTAGCTCGTTTAATAGTATATTACCACCGAGATAGGAAATATGTTAGGTCAGCACGATCGGGTAAAGAGCCAATTTTTCTGCTTTTTCTACTGTTACATAAGACAAAAATATTTTTGCCCACCT